CGGGAGCAGACAGTGAAAAAACATTTCAGGGATTTTTAGGAGAAAAACTGTCGCTCTTGTGGGGGTAATGCGTGGGATTTAGGAGAAAAAAATTATTTCGGTATTAAAACCTTCCAAAACTTGAGGGAACCCCTTCTTGTAGATAGACAACTTGAAGAAGACGTAATTTACCATAAAATGTGTACAAGAAAAGAGACTATTATACACGCTTTCTATAAACTATGTTTGATTTTAGAAGCGCATCAAAAACCAATGGAAAAAATACATGTATTAAAAAAACCGGCATGCTAGCATAGCTGAACTATCTTGCGATTATTTTCTATGATTTTAAATATTACAATTTATTAACTAAGTAATTTTGTCTATCTGAAACCAAACGTAACCTGCTGAGAGGCGTCTGTCCTGCCAAACTTGATTTCCTTGTGCTCGAGCTCAAAGGAGGAATGTGTTGGTGGTCAGACAGAGCTGCATTGTTTTGTGAGTGCCTGCGACGACTTTAAACTCAAAGCTCAAAGGTTGATCCGAATCACCACCGCATCTCGTCACACCAGATCGTTAAACATCATTCCCAGTATAGATTTCGTACTATTTACGGTTTTTTGCCTGAAGTCTTGGCACTACGAGAAACAGTAGCGTCTCTTTATAATCAAATCGGTTAGTTTTTGACCGTTTTCCTGCGCGAGAAAACTCTACGAGCTGCTTTGATTCGGCCCCGGTACGATATTTCTATATCGATGAAGGCTCGCGCGTACCGTGCATCCGTTCGGCCTATCCTTATCCACAGATTTGGACGTTGGGCTATGCACGTGGAAGGTGAAAGAAAATCGGAGGTATTTGACCATTACTGCTTGAGGGCCCTCCTTTGAGGGAAGTATACCGACTTTGTCTCAAAGGGCATAGTCCGCACTCGCTGCTGCAACTTCGCAAGGATATCCCAGGCCAGAAGTGTGGATGCCGTTTGGCCAACTCATTAAGGAAATAATTTTTTTGATTTCGTGTTACCGACTTGTCGGATTAAA